TACTCTACTCTACTCTACTCTACTCTACTCTACTCTACTCTACTCTACTCTACTCTACTCTATTCCACTCCTCCACTCCACTCAATTCCATTTTCCAATCTGATTTTCCATTTTGGTGGCATAGTGTTTGGCTCTTTTTCTTCTGTGTCGATTTTGCATCCTCAGCATTTTGGATTCAAACACACACACTTACAACTTACGGCTTGATAATTGTATATGATAGATTATAGAAAGAAGAGAGTTATGTTGTAACCATAAGAAGTAAATTTATAATTGTACTGATAACTGCTGTAAAGAAGATTGGAAGTTACTCTTTTGTATGTTTTTATTTTCTCTTCTATTTTTCTTTTAGACTCTCCCCCTTTCTTGCACTTTGTTTCTCTTTGATTTTTCTTTTTTTACTTTACATTTCTTTTGTATCAGTTTTCATTTTTCTTTAAAAATATCTGTATTAAAATTATATGTCCAAAAAAACAAGTCCCAAGATGATCGTAGTAACATTTAACTCTGGAAGTTTCTATGGTTAACAGGAAACTTTTTAGAATGAATAGATTCGAGTAGTGAAAGGAATTCTCTTCCTATAATTTACCAAAAGATTTTAAGTTGGGTTTGTTAAACTTCGATTAAGTCAGCAAATGCAGGCCCACAATGACTAAGGCAGAATAGGGGTCTGGCTCAGGAATTCTGGGAATTGAAGTTCTAAAGTTGTCATTAATGCCCATCCAGATCTGGGTGTCCTCTAGGACCTTCTCTAAGGCCTTCCATGGATGCTGTCCTTCATTTATGAGCCCTTCCTGATTTTAGCTCTTGCAGCCACTGCGGACTCTGCTGGCTTCTTCTTCTTTTTTTTTTTTTAGTAAAAGTTTTATTAGGTTTTCACAAAACATAATAGAAATAAAACATCTTTTTTTGAGAGCAGCATGATTCCAGGTTATCACATCTCCATACAAACATAATCTCAGTTACATGTTCATCTTTGTATTCAATTTCATATCTTATCACTATTTTATCAATTTTTCAATAATTCTTCTCTTCCCTTACTTTCATCAGCCTTATTTTATAATTATCTCATTCCTTTCTAATTCAATTACATATCTTTTTCTAAATTTCTATATCTTTCTAGTCATTGCACTTGTACTTTTGTTTGTCCTACTTACAATTTCATAGATTCTTTTCCATCATCATCCTGAAAGGGAAGAGAAAGAAGAAAATTTCCTCCCCTTCCAGGCATTAAAAAGCAAAATTCCCCCTATAATTCTAAATAGACTGTGTCACCTTTACATTTTAAAATTATTATCCTTTCACATCTCATTAAACATTTAATTTATACGTTATACAATTATAACATTCAATTTCTAATATCTATTTTATATTGTATAACTCTTATCAACCGAATTCTGCTTGGTACTTTCCCTTAACAATACACACTTAATTGTAAAAAAAGAAATATTTATATAAAAATAATGAATAAAATGATTAATCCATTCAAATTCATCCTGACAACTGATATTGATTTCATTATAAATCTTTCACATTTCTCTTCAATTGTATGTTATAAATCCTTAAAAACAATTAAGATATTTTCATTCATTCCTCTTATTTCCTAGCAAGCATTCCATTACACCACAATACCAGTTTTATCTTTCACTTTAATCACCTGTTTCATATTTTCTAGCTCGTTACTATTTCTAATATAACAACACTATCTCTTGTACCCTTGCAGAATCCTCTCTTTTAATTTATATTTTTAACCATTATCTCTATGTCTTTTAAGTAGGCTAATACCTTTAATCCTTGTACGTTTCCCTTGTTTCTTTATTTCCTATTTCTGTCCCTTATAACTTCTTTTCCTTTTTATCTTTCCCCTCTTTTTCTCTCCACCTGTTTTGTCCCCCTGTCTCTCTGATTCTCCCTTCTGTAATCCTTCTGCTTCTTCCTAATGTTATATTTACTTTTCAAACTATTCTTTTTTTAGTTGTTTCCCCAAGGCTTAAATTTTTAACTCCTTCCCCCCCCTTTTCCATTTTACCCCACATTGCATTGTTTGGTCGTTAAAGATGGCTTCTTCTTTGTCCAACCCTTCTTGTTCTTCAAGCATTTCTTGTTGTTTTTCATAGTTCAAAATCTCCATTTTTAAAAATTGAAGTGTGAAGCCAAAGGATCCTCTTCCCTCTTGCAACTCTTCTTTCATTTTTTAAAGTTCCATTTTTAATTCCTCAAGGAGTACTGCCATTTTAAACACTTTTAAACAACAACCCGCTTGATTTTAATTCAAACCACTAAAAATCCAACACCCAAAATTCCAAAAATCACCAAGTAATCCAAAGCTCTTTCTTCTTGCTTCTTTCCACTTTTCCTTTCTGGGGGCTCTGTTATATTGTAGCAAAGTTTCAGTTTCATTATATCCTTTGGAAATCTTTTTAAAATTTCACAGTTAATTCTTTTTATTTCCAGATGATACTCTCTGTTATTTCCAAGTCCACCCTTTCTTTTTCTCTCCGCTTTCTTCCTTTTGAGGGCTTTAGAATGTCCAAAAAAATCTTTATTTTCCCTTTGACACTTTAACTTCAGTTTAGGATTACCTATTAGTGTCAAAGTAAATCAACACAAATTTCTTAGTTGAGTCTCTTCTTTTTTTAACTTTCAAAGCCGATTGCAGCTATCAATGTGAGAAAGAAAAAAAATCTTTTTTTCCTTTTCCCCTCTCTTCTCTGCTGCTTTAAAAGTCTTTTTTTAGGAATAATGCTCTTAATAATTTTAGTTCCAGGGTACCTTGCATAGATGTTATCTCAGCTTAGCCCAGTCTGTCAAGCTCTCTCCCTTTGTCTTCCCTCCTGCTCAATCTTGATGGTCGGGTTCCTCTTTGAGGTGGCTATTTCTGACCACCCCTGCAACCGCCTTCAGGAAAGGGAGTAATGCCAAGCCGAGAAGGAGAGATGTGGCTCCCCTCAACTCAATTGGCAGTCTTCCCCCTCTTCGCCACCTCTACGGAGTGGCTTCAGCCCCAAATCCAAAGGATCGGGGTGCTCTAGTGGCGAGCATGGATCAAAACTGTGCACAATCGTGGATTTTGGTCCGTCGCCGAAGAAGCCCAAACCAGAAGCTCCAGACTCTGCTGGCTTCTTGAAAGGACTTTACAGAAACAAGGAACTTCTATTAAAACCAGAATATCAAATAACTTGATAAAATCAACATTTTTCTGGAGATTTTTTGTGTACAGTGGCAACATATAATTTGGTGCATTTCTTCTAAATTTTAATCAGTTAATTATTCCTTATGCTATTCTAATTGTTGCTCCTTGATAAGCATATAGATTTTCAATAGGCAGGTTAGATGTGTATCTACAAAGCCAAAATCTTAATCAATCAAAGCAAAAATGTATGTCTTTGTGAAATTTTCTTGTTTTTTCCATTATTCGTTGGATGCTTGCAGTGTGATCCCAAATACCTGTGTTTATACTGCAACCAGGTTGTACTTTTGATCATTTTTGTTCCATGTACAATATTGGTGAAAGTCCGGACTGCAAAATGTTGAGCATTATCTTACTGGCATGTACAATTCTTCAGTAGAGATAATCCTGTTGCTTTGGATGTTGCACCTAAGTACCAGCTTGGCTGATGCTAAATTAATCATACAAAGATATCAAGCTAACAGTCTTGGGTGAGTTAGAAGTACGATTACTTCTGAGTAATTTCTTAGAGAGTATTAAATGCAGTTGAATCATTTCTCTTGGAAAAATAGACATGTCTCCACATCAGGGGTGGGATTCTACCAGTTCGCACCTATTTGCTAGAACCAGTTGTTAACATTCTAAGCAGTTCAGAGAACCGGTTGTTACAAGAAATTACTGGCCTAATCCTGTAAGGAAGGCATTAAGGAAACATTCTGGTGTTGCTTACAGAAACTGCCTCTCCGTTAACCCTTATTACATTCTTGGCAGGACTAGACTTCCTGTCTCAGGAATGTCTCTGGTGTTTTTTTCCCCTCCTTTGCTGGTACTTTGCTTGTGTGGAGTGACCAATCAAAGTTACAATAGCACTGAAAAAAGTGACTTATGACCATTTTTCACACTTACGACTGTTGCAGCATCCCCACAGTCATGAGGAGATGCATGCCTCGATATGAATGATATTGCGTTGGCCACACCCAGCCAATAACATGACCACCAAGCCATGTCCACCCAGTCACATGACCACCAAGCCATGCCCACCACCTAAGCCACGCCCATAGAACCAGTTGTTAAAAATTTGAATCCCACCTCTGCTCCACATGCATTGAGATCTATATTCTGGTAGCCAGCTGCCATCTTTGTCATGCTAGTGTCTCTTCAGTTGCAATGTTGAGGGAGGTCCCAGTAGAAGGAGAACATCCAAAGGTGATCCCCCTAATAATTAGATAAAGGAGGAAGGTTAGCTTCAGAAACCTAAACTGTATCTTAGATAACTTCTAGGCTCTTTCAAAAGAGAAGAAGGTAGCTTGGAGTGTTGTGTCAGAATCAGTGTTCAAAGTCTTATGGAATTACCAGGAGACCTGCATAGACAGTGTGTGTGTGGGAATGATCTCTTGTCATTACTTTTATTTATGTTTAATTCTTTTTTTACTATATAAAAAAGTAAAAAATCTACCTGATTTGACTTGCTTTTAAACATGGCCTAGAAGTTTAAACAAATTTGGAAAATACCTGTTTTTCTTGCAGATATCTGTTCTTTCTCTAATAATCAAATATTTCCTTGTCTTCAGTGAAATGGCAATAATAATGAGTTGGTTCATTGGTTTGCGATGAGAATAACTGAGAACCAACTGCATTCTTATTTAAAAATATGATAAATGACATTACAAGGAACATATGCTTAAGGGGTTCAATGGCACTCCACATTTCACAAATTGTATGTTTGTGTGGTGTTTTAAGTGGAGGATTATTATTACAATTCACAAACTATTATAAATATGAGCCAAAAAAAATTACAGATAATCTTGTACAAATAATATCTTTTTCTTCTTTCTTGGACACTCATGCCTAGAAATCATGCTTTTGTAGTACTTACAGATTTCTTGCCCTTTTGTT